GTACTGCGCAGCTATTCGGCCCCAGCCTGGGGAAGACGACGGGTCTTCCAGGAGACTGAAACAGAGAGCCGAGTCACTGCTGTCCTTCCTCACGTCTGGCTCAGCTCCATTAAGTCCCAACTAGGTCTCCTGTGACCGAAACACAGGGAACACGAACCTCGACTTCTAACTTCCATAAAGACAGGCATTCCCCCACGTCATGACTCACTGGAAACTAAATGCGGAAAGTCACGGGTGTCCGTAACCGAGACGAACAACGTGGGACACGAGGCCACCCTGAATGGAGCCTCTGCTCCGAGTTCCTGAACCCGCCCAGCGTCGGGCGGGCGATGCCCGAGAACAAGCATGGGTTCCCCACACGAGCAGCAGGACGCCTCGCGGACACACTGCCCCCCGAGGGGACGCACCTGCTCTGCTCCTCTGGCTGCGGCTTCTGCAGCCTCTGACCGAGCGGGAGGGCGGCGAGGAGCTGCTCCGCGGGCCCAGCATCCGGAGGGTCCAGCTGCAGCTCCGGCGTCTGGTCGAGGGCCGCACACACCTCACACACCGCGGCCAAGGCGGCCATGCTGACCGCCCTCTGCACCTGCCTCCCGAGCGTCGGCACCTGGGCAGGAAACAGTGCCCTGAGTGGTGTGAAGACTGCCGTCGCCACTTTCCTATGCACCTGACATGAGGGGAACCCTACCCTCTTCAAATACTACAGACAAAGGGAATGATTTTAAAGTCAAGTTTCGGCAGATGCGTTTTAGGATCAACCTGTATTCCACGTAAGCCTTCCCCGCAGAACTACAAGATTACCAGCCCACTGTCCGCGTCCTGCAGGTGCCGGATGGACGCGTTTCTCAAAGGAGCGATGATTCTCAGGACGGGGCTGCCTCGCTCCCCCCGCTTCCCAGGGAGGCCCGCCAGCTCAGTGAAGACCTGCAGGTACAGGTGGCAGCGATCCAGGTCTGCAACCTGCGACAGACAGCAACACATCAACCAGCAGGGCCCACGACTGTCACAACACGACGAGGTCAGACAGGAAGTGGTGTGTGTGAAGCACTCACACACGCTGAGAAAGGCCATTCCCCACGGGCCCTCCAGGCTGTCCCCATGCAGCCAGGCCTCCTCCTCGGAGAGCCCGCGGGGACCCGCCTGCTGCGCAGCCACCTCACCAACCACCGCTGACGGCTGTTCTGGGAAGCGGAGCAGCTCCCCCAGCCTCTCCGAGCCCAAGAGGGAGGGGCCGGAATGAACGGTAGGCCATGGACCCGGCAGAACAAGACTCAGTCCTGTTTGACCTCCCGCCCACTCTGTGACCTCCAGCAGCTCCCGAGGCCGAGCTCCTGTCCACACAGTGGGGAGGGTCACGTGTGGATTTGATAACTGAGAGCACATGCTGAACGGGCAGCACCGAGTGGCGATGATTAGGCCGTAGCTATCGCTGTGCCCTGCAAGGCCTTCTCTGGCACGGAGGAAGCAGAGGCTCCAGGAACCTCATCAGGTCTCACCGAGCACCACGCATGCAGGCACTGTGCCGGTACGGGAGGTGCTGGGGTTCTAGCAGCTGGGGGGTGACAGTGCATGTGGTGAGAGGGGGGCCTGGGGAAGCTCCTAGAGAGGTGATGGGGCTGCGAGAACATCTGAGAGGCAGGTTCGACTCTGGGTCAGGGCACACGCCCAGACTGTCAGTTGTGGAACTAATGGACGCGATGAGACAGAACCACTCTGTGGACGACCCTAACACCCAGCCCCTCCCAGGCGGGGTGTGAGCAGGAGGGAGCGGCACGGTGTTTCTCTCCCTCCCTCCGTCTCTCTAAAATCAATAAAAACTAACATAAAACAAGGATGAAAGTCACCCCACGAACACTCACGCTGCTCAGTTCATTCATAGTGAGTCTCCGGAGGAGGAAGCTGGAGATGCTCTCTGTGGCGGACGCAACCAAGTCCTGAAGGAGAGGAGGCACCTCATCTGTGGGGAAAAGTGTGCAGCTGAACGGCGGAAACCAGCTGTTTGGTACAAAATACACCACAGTCTAGTGAAGTACAACTATGGTAGGCACGTGGGTGAGCCACTTTCCAAAAGCGGATTCTAAACATGTAACAGTCACCTCACCGCGGGGAGCCTGGAACTGACCCTGGAAGCCCTCTGGGGGTTTCGGCACGACAGGCGGCATTCGGTTCTGCTGCCATCACCCAAAATACCAGAACTCTGAACTCAGCTCTCCTATCCCATAAGCATGTATTAAAACTAACCTCGATATTATCCTCAGGTTTTACCTAAAACCAGTGTTTCTCTAGAATTTTTAAAAGTTTAAATTTCTTCAATCCCAATGAAAGTGGTCGGAAAGGACTGGGAAGCCAGGCTCACGCTCACGTGCTCATCGCTAGTGCCCACGGCTTCCCGCTGATGCGCACACATCGTGGTCTAAGGACGAAGTAAGAGCTCAAGGATTCCATCTGCTACTGCGATACTGTCTATAGGAAGGATTTTCTGCTTAAAGGCGCTCAGAGATGGACATACTTAAAAAATGAATATAAAATTGCTGCTCCATTCTCATGGTTTAGGTTACTTTCTGCAGCACCAAGCCTAGAGGTAATTGGAAATGGATCTTGCTTTAACATATAAAATAGGGATCATTGTCAAGGGTCTAAAAATCAAGGAATAAACAATTTTTTAAAAAAAACAGAAGCAAATGAATCCCATTCTAAAGTCAACAGTACCCAGCAGATGTCCACACCGCAGTGTCAGCCCCGGGGGACGCTTGGCCCCTTCCCGCACCCGCCCCGTAGGAGAGTCCAGGTCAGGATCTCCGCTTATTCTAAACACCAACAAGGTACCGAGCGAGTTCAGAGACCGTCCTCACCATCGTGGGCGCTGGCACCCTTCGGCGAGCATGTGTGCAGCAGCGTCACCAGCGCCTGCAGGCACCTGTCCGTCTTCCGCAGGGGCAGGTAGGCGTTCGAACCCAACTTGGCGAGGGCGTCCAGGAGGGGCTCTAGGAACAGCCTCAGCACGTTCTGTGTCCTCTGCCTCTCACTAGACATTGAGAAACACCAAGAATTTCAAAAGCATAAAGAAACGATCTCCCCGTCGTTTGTGGAGCTGATGGACTCAGTGGGGCAGAGCCACCCCTGTGGCGAGCCCAACACCAGCGCCTCTGGACTGACTGCTCCCCGACCTGCTGGCGGAGCCCGGGTCTGTCCTTCCCGGGAGAGCAGCAAGGCACCAGGGGGAAAGCTCGGGAAGAACCAATGTGCTCGCTCTGGGCACAGTAGGAAGCACAATTCTATCTGCAAAGTAAAATGCCAAGGCCCTGCCTCCCAATCAAAAACACACACGCTAGTCGAGGCGAGGAGACGAGACATGTTAAATATAATATACACATGTATACATACTCACACACATGTATATATATATGCATTGTGTGTGTGTGTGTGTATGTATATGTATATCCTATATAGCGATACAAGCCCAGCGACCAAACAGCAGAATGACCAGAACGACCCGTCTACCAGTCGCTATGATGCGCACTGACCACCAGGGGGCAGACTCTCAACGCAGGAGCTGCCCCCTGGTGGTCAGTGTGCTCCCACAGTGGGAGCACTGTTCAGCTGACCAGGATGAGCAGCTGCTCCTGCTGCAAACGCCAGACCTACGGGCAGGAACCTGGGCTGTGATCGTTGTCTCCTCACCCCAGGCTGTCTCTCTGCTGCCTCCTCCGGACTCCCGCAGGCCGCCCCAGGCTCCTCCTCCTCGCTCCCTGCCCCCTCCTCCGGACTCCCGCAGGCTTCCCCAGGCTGCTCCTCCTCCTCCTCCTCCTCCTTGCTCCCTGTCCCCTCCCCTCTGGACTCCTGCAGGCAGCCCCAGGCTTGGAGAGGGACTGAGGCCTACTCTGCGGCCTCTCAGTGCCATTGTCCCTGGGTCGGCCCCAACCAGGTCCCCTGGAGAGGCGAGTGCTCCAGCTCCACGGAAGATGCCAGACCAGGGAGCAGCTGCTCAGAGGACAGATCCACAGCTGCTCAGCTGACCTGGATGAGCGACACTTCCACAGCGGGCTGATCTGGCAGGTCACGCTCTCCACCAGTGCATAAATCTGTGCACCAGGCCGTGCGTGTGCGTGTGTGTGTGTGTGCGCGCGTGCGTGTGTTAAAGATCTATAAAAAACTGTTATAAGCAACTAGCTCTAAAACTGTCTAGAAAAGAGTTGATGTAACCAAAGTGACTGCATATCATGCAGTACACGGCCTCAGGAAGCTGCTTTTTGCAACAATTATCATCTGAGAGAACTGACCTGCTCACATCTGCAAAATCTGAGACTGTTTTATCTTTATTCCTTTTTTTAAAATTACACATTTACCAAGGAATTAAATAGATCATTTCTTCATCTAATCTTATCCTAGGATCTTACAAACCATTCTTCTAATATTCTTATATAAAACCTGGGATTACTATAGTTTGTCTAACCTTCTCTAAGTTACTAACCTGAGAGCCTTTCGCACTATTACTCTATTGTTAACTTATAATTAACGTGCTCCCCGTGCCCCAGGCCCTTCCTTTCCTGCCCTGTGGTCAGTTCCAGGCCGACTGGGGACAAGGCTGAATGTGCCCCACACACCTGAGCGGCCTTTTCTGGGGAAGCTGATTTCAAGCTGAGAAGCGCTTACCTGTGTTGGACCTTCCTTCCTTCCACGTCCACAGCCAGTAAGACCATCAGAGCCACCAGCCTGGCTTCCGCCCAGTCCGGCATCCGGCCGTTTTCTCCTGCTTCAGGAAGGACAGGCGGGTTTGCAAAGCATTAACAGAACCTGCCAAAGAGGAGGCTTCAGAAACAACGGCTCAGTGACTGTCTCACCGACACTCAATTATAACAGAGCGCGGCCGAGGTGACACGGCTTGTGTCGCACACACTGAGATATGAGTAGCCCATTTCTGCAGGCCTAGTCCCTCCATCCTTCTCATTCCATTCGGTAAAGCCCGAATCTTGATCTGAAAACTAGATAAAGTTCTTCGAAACCCTTTGGTTATACCAATCCAGAAAAGTGATCTCAGACTTACTTTCCCAAGCAGGTGACGTAATATACTCTTGAACGAGGCTTTTGACGTAAGCGTTTAAAGAGCACGTCTCCTGGAGTCCAAGGGAGCCACAAGCTGAGGGTCGTCCAAAACAGCTTTCATTTACACGTAACCAGTCACAGAGCTGGGAAAGACAACATTATTACTTTATTTTAAAAACCCTACCCGAACAAAGGGTTCCTAACTTCCCGAAGCCAATTTGTTTTCTTCCACAACAAACTGAACTGAAATGACTGAATATAACAAAGTAATAAAACGTTTTCTGCCACAACTGAGTTGCACAAAGAGTGTCAACAGGAAATGTATGCGTGCTTTCTACCCTCCATCCGGTATTTTATCAGCTTCACGAACAGGCCTTTAGAGTACCTCATATAAAATGCACATGTGATAAGCTCTTCTAAAGAACATCTCTGTGAAAAAAGGCACATTATGTAAAACAAATTACAACCTTAAATTAAAACTCATCCTAGCTTCACGTACTAAAACAAGAATGTTTATTTTTGAGAGAATATGAGTTTGAAATGTAAGTTATAATTAAAGCTCCTGCCTCCTCACAAGTTTATTTTCTATCCTATGTGCATTTTAAAATACATTAATTTAAAAGAGAAATTAAATTCTGTCCTAGCCCTTCTCCATTACACCTTTTAGAAGATTTGCAAAAGTAAGTCACAGAACTTCCCAGAATTCCTCTTTCTGCATGTAATTGTGAAAGCTATGGTCTCAACTTTCTTTTTCCGATATATCTTAATGTGCAAATGCATACATGAAGTTAAATATAAAGTAAATAACTAGGTCTTTCTAAAAGGTAAGAATTTTAAAAAAAAGTTTTGCGTCCATTAAGGTAACCCCAGATACATGTACGGAGACATAATAATGATGAAACTAAGAATACCCCACCTGACCAAGGACAAAGCTGATGAGTGAATAAATCAGTCGAGACTAATACCGGCCCCCAGAGGGGCCAATGAGGGAGCCGCGCAGCCCGTGAGGGAGGCCGCGTGTGGGTCCTTAGCAAGCAGAGACCGTCCAGCAGAGAGGCCAGCTAGTACTGCTCTCTCCACAGCAGGCACTTTACGTTCCTCTCACACTGGCTAGTGAGGGAGTCAGTCAGCAAACGTGTTTGTAAGATTTCGAGGCCTTGTCATCAGACCCGTCCCCTCTCACCTCTGTCCATAGTGCCGTTCCCCGGCCCAGGGACTCCTCCCGTCGCAGAGACACGAGAAACGCAGAGATGTCGGACAGCGACACGTCCTCCTGGGGGGCGGGGGGACGGACGTGTTTTTAATAGTTACTCACTTTAAATCTTTTAATTGAATAAAAGAAAATCACCATAAAAGCAACTTAGTATACTAAAGTACATTAGTGAAATCTTTAAAAAAAACCTATTTTTTAAAAGAAAATATTATTCAACTTCTGAAATGAAGATATTGATTAGAACCAACCCATTATGTAAAATAAAAGATTGTTTTATCAATGTATTTTCCTTAAAATCAAGGTTACTATCTCACAGACAAGATGGTCACTACCTAAAAACAAAAACTTCCTACAAGAAATTACTTATTACTTAAACTAAAAGTGATTCTTACCTTTCAAAGCTAAAAAATGACTCCTGGCTTAAAGCTACCTCAGGCTTTTACTCCCTGAAGGTTGTGAGTCTTGAACTAAGGCCCCTTGCTCTAGGCCAGGGGCCCGCAAAGCCACCCACTGTCTGTTTTGTAAATAAAGTTTTATTGAGCACAGCCACATTCATCCACTCACCAACTCTCTATGGCTGCTTTTGAGGGTTGTGCCAGAGACCGTATGACTCTCAGAGCCTTAAATACATACTGGCCCCCGTCACAACCACGGTATTATGGGGGCCCCGTAAAAAACACACTAAGGGCAGGACACATCCCTGACGTCGATTCCCTGGGAGACATGTGGGGAAGGAGAGGAGACAGGGACAGCGCCTGAGCGTCCTTTGCCAGGGGAGCCCCCGACGTCTCAGTTCCCGGCGACATGCAAACTCCTCCCGGGGGGGCTCCTGAGACCCGGGTGTCCCTGATACAAGACACTGGGCAGGCCACTGCCCACACTCCAGGCGCCCGGAGGCAGCCGTCAGGACCGGCCACGTGGTTTGTGGGAGTACTGCAGGCAGAGAGCCGCTCTCATTGGTCGGAGAGGGAGCCCTCTCCAAGTACGCGTTCCCGGTGTCAGCCAGGGGCCGACCGTGAAACAAACAGGGCTCCAGGCCTGCTACGTCCACTCCTACACACCCACCCGCTCGGAAAGACGTGCACACGCATAAAGGAGATGCACTTACCACGTCGACCAGGTTCATGGCCGCGTGCAGCAGATGGCACTGGGCGGCCCCGCGCAGCAGGATCTGGTGTGTGGCCATGGTGCACTGGAGGACGCCCCTGACACGACAACAGAGTTCACCCCACATCCACAGACGGCTGTAGTCAGCTGTTACTGACAGGCTGGTGTAACAGCTACCACTACGGACTCCCCAGTAAGGTCACTAACAGAGCTCCATTTCAGGAGCAAACACATCTCTTTTAAAAACAATGAGACCAGAAATGAACATCCTTTAAAACAAGAATTTTACACTTAAAAAAAATACTTTGTAGTCTAGTTTCCTACACGTCAATGTAATAAAAAAACCTACTGGCCTTATTTTAAAGTGGTTATAGCATACATTATGGCACATACTTAAATTAGTAATTCATAAAACAAAATAAGTTCAATTAAAAATTTTTTTAATAAAATTAAGAGCTCAAACATCCTAATGTGAATATTAACTAAAACCATTTGCTAGAGCCTGGGCTGGTGTTCCCAGTGGTTAGAGCCACCCCACCCACCAAAGGGCCTCGGGTTCGATTCCCAGTCAAGGGCACAAACCTGGGTTGCAGGTTTGATCCTCAGGCCCGGTCAGGAAACCAACAGATGCACCTCCCTCACATCAATGTTTCTTTCTCAATCTCTCTCTCACTCCCACTCCCTCCCTCCCTCCCTAAAAATCAATGGGAAAACCATCCCCAGGTTAACAGGAAGCACCAGCCCCCCACGTGAGCACCCAGACCCAGTACCTGAGGGCCAGGAGGCCTTCCCGACCCAGGGCTTTGCATCTCGGGACACCGGCCAAAGCCTTAGACAGAAACAAAATGGGAACAGCACACCAATGTCTACTCGACATCTTCTGAATCAGTTTTAACAAAAAACTACCTGAAAGAAAGAGTTTTAAATATCATCGTTGCCAACAGCACGTGACCACACGCTCAACATCATTAGCCATTAGGTGGGAAAAGCAATGCAAACACCCTAACGCGATGAACTTCACACCCACGAGTCCGCTGTCTTCAAAGGACCGGCAATAACCAGGAGCATTCACATACACGTTCTGGCATAAACAGTGCTTTCCATTCGTGACCTGGGGCACAAAGTCTCCCAAAAGGCAAGTGTATTCTCTTTCTGCTTTCCCAAGTCAACGGCTATGCAGGGCTTCACCACACGGATATTCTGTTTGCACATTTTCCCTAAAGCCTGGTTCTCTCTTCCTTCCGCCCATTTTACTGATTTTTGAAAGTCAATAGAAACAAGTAGAACAGAGGGCACAGGGCACACCCCTTCTGACGTCCCGCCATGGGCTCATGCCAACACCGGGGCCATCACGTAGGAACATGTGCCTAGTGACCGCGCGCACCTGCATAAGCCTGACAATCTGCGTATCCCCGAAAAAGGAAACTGTTTTGATAATACTGAGTATAACGGTCATAGGATGGTGCTTATAACCAATATACTAAAATAAATAAATCTTTAAAGGTAACACATTAAAAAAAGAAAACCTTTACTGCACATACTCTTTAGTTCTTCTGGAAGAAGAGAAACATAAGCAGCTAAAAATCTCTGTAGTTTCAATCCCAGTGGAGACCCACTTCCTATCTGCTGGCCCGGCGACCTAGACAGAGAGGAAGGACACACGTTTAAAATGTATTTACAAATGAGCATCATGGAAACTAAATGGACTGTGGCCCAAAGTTCTTTTAATAAAACAATGAGACCATCTTTTATTTCTGAACCAACTTTTTATTTTTCAGTAAAATGCTAAGGACCCTTCTGATTACAAACCAGGACCTTCTAGGGCAGCAATGGCGAACCTTTTGAGCTCGGTGTGTCAGCATTTTGAAAAACCCTCACTTAACTCTGGTGCCGTATCACATATAGAAATTTTTTGATATTTGCAACCATAGTAAAATGAAGACTTATATTTTTGATATTTATTTTATATATTTAAATGCCATTTAACAAAGAAAAATCAACCAAAAAAATGAGTTCGCGTGTCACCTCTGACACGCGTGTCATAGGTTCACCATCACTGTTCTAGGGAAATGAACCTGGGTTGGTAATGTGCTGTGCTAAGTAGGCATGGACTTCCACTTCATGACGCTTTCCTTGACACAAATGTACGGAACTTGCTAAGTAGTATCACTTTGTAAAAAGTCTAAATATGATCATTTAAAATGACATTTTATAACTTCCAACGTATGATCCGATGCTTTTAAATCTTTGGGTATTAAACAGAAGAAAGACATGTTAGGAATAAGTTACTTTTGCAAGAGCACTTGTTCGTTAACATCTACTAAAGTCACCATTTCTCGCTACATGGTTCTCCGGAAACGTCACCGCTAACTGAACAGAGCGCTAGCGAACGGGCCTCTCGCCGTAGCGGTGTCTGTGGCTTTAGAGAGGCTGGCTTTCCTGCTCCCCGGGTGTCTAATCGCTTCAGACAGCTAGTCAGTCATGAGTTATGTGAAAACTAAAGTAACTGGCAAGTCAAGCATTGCTATCCTCCTTCGATATTTATCAGATGGGACTAAATACCAATATAACTTAGCACTAAGTTACACTTCTTAAAGAAATTGGCGGTGGAAGGTTTTCCCGTTCAGAGGTGTACCAAGTGGAAGACTTGCAAGCATGAACTTAGACTAAATTAGAAAGACAATTTCAAAAGCGAGGGAAGGTTTTGAAGATATAATTCAGGAATATAGATAACGCTCAACACACAGGGTAAGGCACAACACGGACACGCTTCACACGCCCAGCTTTCCCAACGGCTGCCGCCACCAGACGTGGAAGAGGAGGTGAGAACAAAGCCTGTGGGACGGACTAGAACTGGGCGGGTTGGTGCGAACCCCTGGTTTTTAATGCGGTGGGTGGACAGACAGACGGACACTGAACTAGACAGAGGTGGGCCAGTCTGCTCAGCAGACAGAACTAAGAAACAGATGCGCACACAAAGGGAGAGAGAGAGTGCGATTGAGCAAAGGTGGTAAAACGTTAACATCTGGGGAATGTGGATGAAAGGCAGGTGGGA